AAAACGGTAAATACAGTTTTTTTTTATACGCACATGGAACATTTATTCAAATATTCTTTTCGATTCCAATGAATAATTTAATTTACTCTAATTTTTTGCGGATTCGTTGAAATCTTCAGATGCTCGAGTCATTTCAAAAATAATATTGTTATTTAAAATTGTTTTTTTTTCAGATGAAATCGTACCCACTGATCTTTCTAATACTATTGTTTCCCACGAACATAAAGTCAGCGAGGCATCTGCACTGGAGAAAAATACATTGCAACTTGATCACACTAATGAGTCGGCAATTATTCCAGACACTGCCTCTACTATTATTTCTTCGGAAGAGGAAAAGTCAACTATCCTTTCCACTACTACTCCGACTGCGAACTTGCTAATTCTGAGCCAATAGCTAAAAGTATACAATTATCTCATATTTTGAACCGATTGAAACGTTGAATAATATTCCTAATTTTTTCAGATCAAAAAGAGACGATTGTTGACGAAGTTAAGCAAGGTATAATCTGTTTTTGTTCATTTCATACATAAATAATTCAATTTATATTCTTGTGACTACTGAAATGTCTTAATCAAATGTCATTCTTTGCAGATTCAAAGGAAAGTTCCGATCTCTGCAGTAATACAGGGGAATTAGCTAATGAGGACCATAAGACTTTAAAGTCCAAACAAGGTACATGGTTTTTTATTATCCACTCGTTTGTAAAATCAGTGATATAACTTTGACATTATTTTGCGATTGTATAATCAATACGCACACTTTTTTTTACTGCCATGTCTCGTCAATATTTTCGAGTTTGTCTTGAATTCATATAAATATTTTAAAAATAATATTGTTATTTAAAATTGTTTTTTTTTTCAGATGAAATCGTACCCACTGATCTTTCTAATACTATGGTTTCCCACGAACATAAAGTCAGCGAGGCATCTGCACTGGAGAAAAATCCATTGCAACTTGACCACACAAATGAGTCGGCAATTATTCCAGACACTGTCTCTACTATTATTTCTTCGGAAGAAGAAAAGTCAACTATCCTTTCCATTACTACTCCGACTGCCGAACTTGCCAATTCTGAGTCAATAGCTAAAAGTATACAATTATCTCATATTTTGAACCGATTGGAACGTTGAATAATATTCCTAATTTTTTCAGATCAAAAAGAGACGATTGTTGACGAAGTTAAGCAAGGTATAATCTGTTTTTGTTCATTTCATACATAAATAATTCATTTTATATTCATGTGACTTTACTGAAATGTTTTAATCAAATGTCATTCATTGCAGATTCAAAGGAAAGTTCTGATCTCTGCAGTAACACAGGGGAAGTAGCTAATGAGGACGATAAGACTTTAAAGTCCAAACAAGGTACATGGTTTTTTATTATCTACTCGTTTGTCAAATTACTGATATAACGTTGACATTATTTAGCGATAGTATAATAAATACGCACACTTTTTTACTGCCATGTCTCGTCAATGTTCTCGAGTTTGTCTTGAGTTCATATAAATATTTTAAAAATAATATTGTTATTTAAAATTGTTTTTTTTTTCAGATGAAATCGTACCCACTGATCTTTCTAATACTATGGTTTCCCACGAACATAAAGTCAGCGAGGCATCTGCCCTGGAGAAAAATCCATTGCAACTTGACCACACAAATGAGTCGGCAATTATTCCGGACACTGTCTCTACTATTATTTCTTCGGAAGAAGAAAAGTCATTTATCCTTTCCATTACTACTCCGACTGCCGAACTTGCCAATTCTGAGTCAATAGCTAAAAGTATACAATTATCTCATATTTTGAACCGATTGGAACGTTGAATAATATTCCTAATTTTTTCAGATCAAAAAGAGACGATTGTTGACAAAGTTAAGCAAGGTATAATCTGTTTTTGTTCATTTCATACATAAATAATTCAATTTATATACTTGTGACTTTACTGAAATGTTTTAATCAAATGTTATTCTCTGCAGATTCAAAGGAAAGTTCCGATCTCTGCAGTAATACAGGGGAAGTAGCTAATGAGGACCATAAGACTTTAAAGTCCAAACAAGGTACATGGTTTTTTATTATCTACTCGTTTGTAAAATCAATGATATAACGTTGACATTATTTAGCGATAGTATAATCAATACGCACACTTTTTTACTGCCATGTCTCGTCAATGTTCTCGAGTTTGTCTTGAATTCATATAAATATTTTAAAAATAATATTGTTATTTAAAATTGTTTTGTTTTTCAGATGAAATCGTACCCACTGAACTTTCTAATACTATTGTTTCCTACGAACATAAAGTCAGCGAGGCATCTGCACTGGAGAAAAATCCATTGCAACTTGGCTTTATGAAAGAGTCGGCAATTATTCCGGACACTGCCTCTTCTATTATTTCTTCGGAAGAACAAAAGTCACCTATCGTTTCCACAACTACTCTGCCTGCCGAACTTGCCAATTCTGAGTCAACAGCTACAGATATACAATTACTTGAAGCAATTTCAACAGGTTAACATCATTTAATAATATTGTTCTTTTTTTTTTGGGAATCGAAGAGTTACCTTCAAATAAATCTGAACAAGGTAAATACAGATTTCTTGCAAAACACATCGAAAATTCAATTCAAATTTATTTGAACTTGAATGTTCTTCTAATTTAACTATACCTTGTGCAGATTCGATGAAACCTTCAGTTGACTCGAGTTATAAAGATGAAGTATTCATTGTAGACTATAAGAATTCAAAATCCCAACTTGGTACGACCTTTTTTATTAACTACTTTTATTCGATATCGGGAATACTGCTTTTTAATCTTTCTTTGCAATGACACAATAAATACGCATAACTCTTTATAATTTTATGTCTCATCAAAGTTTTTGAGTGTGATGATAATTTTTATAAATATTTTTGAAATAATTGTGTTATTTGTAATTGGTTTATTTTCCAGATGAAATCGTAACTTTAGAGCTTTCTAATACCATTGTTTCCGATGAACATAAAGATAACGAGAAATGTACAAGTAATCAAAATCCACAGCAGCTTGCCCATGTTGAAAAATCAGCAAGCATTCCAAAAACTGCCTCTACAATAATTTCAGTCGAAGTGAAAGAATCACTTTTCGTTTCCACTGATTCACCTGATGCAAATCCTGAGTCAATAGCCCAAGGTATGCAATTATCTCATTATTTTAACAAATTAGAACATTTAAACGTTCAAAGTTAATTACGCGTTAAACTTTTTTTGCGACAGATACATCAATATCCATCACTTTTTTGATTAATAATTCAAAATTATAACTTTTATGGATTTTTCACTCACAATATTATAATAATTTTATTATAAACACCACTTCTTTTTCAAATACCATATTTCATAAATCTGAATGAATTCATATTTGTTCGAACTTTTCCGCAGAAAGTATAAAAAAATCTAGCCGACCCAGTAGGAATCATTCAACGAAACGTAAAAGAACTGATAAGAAATTAAAGACTCATCGTCAAAATAATGAAGGTAATTCCAACGGGACAGTCATAGCTGTGAAGAAATGTCGAGTATATTTGGAGAGATGTGATATCCCCGCTACAGTTGCAGATGAGAAACTTAAATTTGGTATATATTTATTTTTAACTACGTGTTTTAATAATTTAAAATATTTTCAACCTTTTTTTCACGATAGCATACTCGTTTTTAGTATAGATTTCTATTTAATTCTATTTTTATCCTTTTTTCAAATGATAGATGTTTCATTGAGGCGAAAATCGACAGGTGTTAAAAAACGAGTGTATGAAGAGGATGGTAAGTCTTCACTTGAGGAGATGAATCATAGAAAAAAAAAAAAACTATTTTTCGATGATGAANCGAGAGCCGAATTTATGATCGCCATTTTGAATTTCGTCATTATAACTATTTTAGAATAAAGTATACATGCCATTGACCAAATTTATATGCGTGAGACCCACGAGCGAACCTTCTTTCCGTGTTGAAATTTGAGTTGAACGAGATTTTTTTCTCGAAATTTCATGTTTTTTTTACAAAATTGTTTATAACTTTTAATTGAATGATTTTTTTTTAATTCTGACCTCGGATTCGAAAAGTACATTAAATTTTACGTGAGAAATCATGTCTGAAAAGTTTTTTAAACAATTTTTAGTCGGTGTAATTCATCGCTAGAAATGTTGTCCAAAAATGGTCACTTCGGGCGTTAAAGGGTTAATAAAAAAGTTATAGCTGTTTAAACAAAAAAAAACGTAAAAATTTTTGCAAAAAATCAAGTTTTCGATTTTTTTTCGCCATGTTACCGTTAAGGAATCAAGATATAAATATGATCAGGGGTGATCACGAATATCAAAGTATCTCAGGGAATTTTTATGGAATTTTCGAACCACTTTTTCAAACAAAATGGCGGCCAAATCGAAAAAAGTTCACATAAAACATAACTCATTTTTTACTCGAAAACTATTGAGTTTAGAAAAAAAGTTTATGGAATAAAAAAGTCTTAGAATTTGATCGAAGAACATACCTGAATTTTTTCAGAATTTTCTGAGACCATTTTTCTTTTCCAGAGAATAGGGGAAATCCAATTTCCCAAAATCATCTCAGAAAATTCTGAAAAAATTCAGGTGTGTTCCTTGATCAATTCTAAAACTTTTTTGTTTTATAAATTTTTTCTCTAAACTCAATAGTTTTCGAGAAAAAAAATATTCTACTTTTTGCATGACCCAGAGAGAACGACGAGGACGTAAAAGAATTTCTTCTTTTTTGACTTATGAATTCTGCGACTTTTTGTTTTTCTTTCTAATAATTCTCATTTATCAAGTCGAAAAGTATTGCATAAACTCATTTTTATTACTTGCTGCTCACGTGCTGTTTTGTGACCTTATACGTTTATTCGTATCGAAGTGATTGTTTATCTCGTCTGGAATCGAGATATTTCATGCGATCATTCGATAAAAAGTATTGATTGCCATAATTATTGTTTATACTTCGTATTTTTATTATTTAACATCATAATGTCCCGAAAACGTAAGAGGCAGTCCTCCCCCTGTCATGAGAGGTACGAAATTGATACATCAAAGAAGGCCTACGATGATATAATTACTGTTCCAAATCCCAATGATTCTGGTTCTGATGCATCAGATTTTGATACCGATTTGGAGAATGAAATTTCTGATTTAACTTACAAAAAAGCTAGTAAAACCTATACTGAAACTCAAACTAAACTAGAAAAAAATCATGTTTTCGATTGGGTGGAAGGAGAAAAAAAGTATCCAAATAATATTGAAGACAATATTTTTTTGAAAGATTCAACAAAAAAGAAAATACGAAAAAGTGAGCCAGTAGAATTGTTTGAAACATTTTTTTCCATGGAAATGAAACAATATATTATGGATGCTTGTAAAGAAAATAATTTCGATTTGAATTTACAAGACTTGAATACATTTTTAGGAATAATTATTTTGACTTCATTGAACAAAAGGAAATCTCAGAGAGACTACTGGTCAACTGATCCCTTTTTATCTTGTGATGTTATTAGCTCTGCAATGTCCCGTGAAAAGTTTGAAGAGATCAAATCGAAATTAAAATATTCAAAAGCAAAAGATCAAAATCCCACTGACTATGGTTGGCATGTCCGCTCTTTACTAAACTTATTTCAAACTAATATTTTGAAGTTTGGTATTTGGAGAAGTGCTCTTTCCATCGATGAAATGATGGTTAAGTCTTATGCGTGGACGGTACTAAAACAATTCATTCGAGGAAAACCCATACGATTTGGTCTCAAATTTTGGGGTCTTTCCACTTCCGATGGTTTTGTATTAGGTCTTGACTTATACTGCGGAAAAAATTCTTCGACGGGCGGTAAATTTAGTAAGTGTGTATTAGGTTCTCGCGTTGTCATGAACTTACTACAACATTGTTTTGATACTATCCCTCAAGACAAAGTGCCTAAGTTCCATTTATATTTTGATAATTATTTTACAAGCTTAGATCTTGTTGGGCATTTGAAGAGGTTGGGGCTAAAATGTACAGGCACCATTAGAGAAGATAGAATCAAAGATAAAAATGTTTTGAGTAAAAAAGCTCAAAGAGGTGAGTATGTCGTAAAGCATGATAAGAACAGCGGTGTAAATTACATTACTGTGATGGATTCGAAACCAGTTTTGATTGTTTCTGCCGCTGCTGGGGTAACTCCATTATTCGCTGCAAAAAGATATAATAAGCAAGAACGAAATAAAGCCGAAGTACCTTTTCCGAGAGCTATCAGCATCTACAATAGTTTTATGGGTGGCAATGATGTTAATGACGTCCATTGCAACTATTTGCTTCCAACTATTCGATCGAAAAAGTGGACGTGGGTAGTTTTTTTGAGACTCATCCAAGCTTCAATTGTAAATGCTAATGTAATATTCAATGCTGTCAGTGACGCGGAAAAAAGAGTCGGAACCAAAGACTTTGCACTTTCCTACCAAGGCGAGGACTCACAAGGCTGGCAATAGATGGAGCACAACACTCCCATGATGAAGTCAGAAGCGAGAACCACACTCACAAGATGAAGCCGACCCGCCAACCTGGTCACTTGCCGGGCGGCGACAGAAGCGAGAACCACACTCACAAGATGGCACTTGGCAGCGAGTTCTAATACTTAACTCAGAAGGAGACGCCAGCAATATGTGACCGCACAAAGATACGGCTCTAAAAAAGGGGATAGGACAATCGAGATACGGCATCGCGCAGGATCGGAGGTTCACCAAGTAGAGAAGAATAAGTCCCTGAACCCCTAATCGTCGCATATCACTATGCGACGGATGGGAAATGAATGGAAACGACTAACATAGAAGTAGCAGAAATGCTCAACTAACCCCGGCCTCACCGAAGCAATGCCTAGCGGCAGTTACCGGTGAGTGCCCAAATGGGGTGGAGTAGAAAAAAAAAACATAGTCATTTGTCGGTAATTCCATGTAGTTTCCAAATATGTAAACCAAATTGTGGTACGACGTCTGGTTCTAAATCTCATTTTTAAGCCTATCACATAAATTCCTTTATGAGGAAGCAAAAACGAAGTGACAATTAATAATTTTCTGAAAATAAAATATGTATTTTAGTTTGGATTTATTCAAAATTTAATGAATTTAAACTTGTTAATACTTTTAATAACCATTTTAATTTTAATTATTTCTACAATTTTGTTTAGATCAAATTTACAATGGTAGCATAATGTAAGGCTATTTCAGCTAAATGTAAAAAATAGAATGGTGGATTTGCTACGTAATGAAAATGATTAATACCTTTGACTAACAAAGGTACAGTTTCATGAAAACTTCCGATACTGATATTAGTTATTCCATAAGAATATGATAATATGCACCTTTTCAATATGTTTACATATTTAGAACGATTTTTTGTATGAGCTCCGCAATAACTGCATATTTCTTTTCGTATATTTTCAATATCAATGCATATAGTTCCTTTACATGAATTTATATCACATCTGAAAAAAAAAGGAATTATAAAATTGAGTGAGAATTGGAAACGGTCTCGCATTATCGAATCAATTCTTATTTAGCAAAATCTTAGAATCATATTCACCTAAACCAAAAAAAATTTTTCACTTGTACCTTTTTTTAATGTAGTAAGAGAAGGCTTTTTTTTCAAATACAGTGAGTGCACTAGGGAACAACAATACTGTTGGGAAAATGGTGGTTAAATAAATATCTTTTGATTTTAACAAAAACAATAATTTAATAAAGATATATAAAAAGACAATGGTTACAAAAACAACTCGAGTGTTACTACAGTGCTGGTCTCTGTATAAATCGGAGCACTCGACTCTTGGCTGGCAAGCAGAGGTGTCGCGTGTACGCTATTCCCACTCACCCATTATCGCTTACACACATGCGTATACTATATCTATGTCGGTACTCAGCTTGAAAGTATTATATTCCTAAAAAATACCCCTTCAAAACCGCTGCCAAAACATTGGCAAGGAGCTTCCTCCATAAAAGTTATTTACGATGAATAATAATTTAAAAAAAAAATTTAGTATATCGTTATTTCTACATAAGGCTCTGCACACGGTACACACATACACACACACACACACACACACACACACACGGGATTCGCGCTTGGACTAGAAAGCGAGTAAGACGTGTGTTGCTCGCGCTCTTGTGTTTTTAACTCCTAGTGCGGTCATACGTGGTGCCGAAGTGTCTGTGTGTGCGCCAGGTGTGCAGCTTGACGCGCCGCGTCGGCGCATGTGTGTACAGTTCTGTGGCTGTGCGTGTGCAGCTGTAGTAGTGTTTTTTCACTGGCTGTGTGTTTTCCCGCGTACTGTGCTGTCAGTGTGAGCTCTGCGCGCTGGAGTGTGTGCTTGCCTAGCACCGTGGTGCGAACGCAGAAGGCGCGTGCGGTTCGCGACATGTCGGCAGCCGCGAACGACGGGCTGCAGGGCCCGCAGGGGCAGACGTCGGTCGAGGGGTCCAGCGTGCCGAGCTTGATGGAGCGTGGGCCGCACCCGTCGCCGCGAGCGTCTCCTTGCACAATGGTCAAGGCGATTACGGCGAAAATTATCAACGCCCCTTTGAAGTGCAAAGAAAAGGATGCTACGCTCCCGCCTCCCGCGGAATTCGCGACAGGGACCTTGGAGGACAAACTGGAGCGTATGGACGGCCTTATACGCGGTCTCGGCGAGTTTATCCATGGCAGGTCCAATCTCCATAAGGAGGTGAACAGCTACCAGCTGAGCCTTGGGTTGGCTCTCACAGCGCTGAAGAAGTCACTGGCAAGCCAAGTGCCGCCTCGCCCTCCCGTAGCGGACAAGGCGGTTTGCACTACCCCTCTGTTCTCGGGCAGTGCAACCAGTAAGCGGCCTGCAACGTCACCGCTGGCGTCGCTTTCAACACCCAAGCGCCACGCGGTGACAGCAGCAACCAAGCAGCATGACGAGAACAATAACGAGGTCGGAGACGAAGACGCATTCGTACTTGTCGACCGACGACGTCACCACCAGCGTAATCAGGCGGCAACAACACCTAGAAATCCTCACGCCCGTCAACAGCCGAAGCCGCGTCCAGTGCAGCGTAGAGCTCAGCACCGACCAGACGCAATCGTCATCAAGGCGAAGGATGCGACTAAGTACGCGGACATCCTGCGATCCCTCAAGTCGGATCCGACGCTGCAGCAGACTGTCGGCAGCAGCGTAAATACCATCAGACGCAGCGCCGCGGGTGCCTTGGTGCTGCAATTGAAGAAAGGCGTGCATAACGCCTCCGACCTCGGCGAAGAGCTTGGTAAGGTGCTTGGCGCCGCGGCGACAGCCAGTGCCCTGCAGCACACGTCCATGATCGAGATCAAGGACTTGGACGAGTGCGTCACCAAGGAGGAGGTCACCATGGCGCTGGACACTCTGCTGGGCGTTCCGGTGTCCAAACGCGACCCCGTGAAGTCCCTGCGGAGGGCATACTCGGGAACGCAGGTGGCTGTGGTCGCGCTGCCGGACGACCTGGCGGCCGCTGCGCTGAAGCTGGGCCACATAAGGATCGGCTGGGTGAACTGTCGCATCCGTGGTCGAGAGGAGGCCGCGCGCTGTTACCGCTGCTGGAGTCCTGGCCATATGGCCGCTCGCTGCAGGGGGCCCGACCGCACGGAGCTCTGCTATCGATGTGGCCAGAAGGGCCATCAAGCCAAGGACTGCAAAGGCCAACCAGCGTGCGTTCTCTGCCAGGAACGAGGAGCTGAGGACCATCGTCATGCGTCCACAANCCTAAGCAGGGTACGCACACACACTTTCAAGGATAATGAAGTGAATATGTCAAGAGAGTATCTCATGCACATTTTGACATTGGCGTACAAGTTAATTGTAAAAAGTCACAGCCCCCCAGGAGCTCTTTTTTTTATCAGTAATTCGTGTACAAGTTATAAGTAGCTGAGCTTTTTTTACAATACCTTCTTGCTCTGTGATAGATACTTCATCGTTAAGAATCTTGACATCATCATTAGATTCCTCAAGCGCTGATATCACCTCATTGTCCAACTTTTTCCCAACACACTCATTCTCTTCTTTAGATGCTAAATCTGATAAAATTTTGTTATGATCATGGTCAAAATGACTGGATGAACCACTATCGATACACTTATTGATTTTTTCTTTCAACATGGACTCATAACCTTCTTTCAAATATTCTAATTTTTTTTTATCAACTGTAAAATTGAAAAAACAAACCATTAGATAATTTAAATCAGCAGAATTGTACACAAACACAACTACTCACCATCACGAGCCAATGTGAAACAATTTTTCCAACCATCAGAAGACGTTTTACACATTTGTTGACCGTTCCTTACTTCCATTCTTTCTGGTATACAGTATGTTTGTTCATACTTCACTAAATAATAAAGCGAATCTTCCATTTTTAACAAAAACTACCTGAAGATTTTGATTTTAACAAAGGCTACTTTAAAAGGGGCTCGCAAACTGTCGATGAAATTCGTAAATTCTAGTCCAGATACTCGCAGAGAGTGTAAGAATGCATTCACAAAGCGATCATTGCCAACGTTCGAAAAATAAAAACATGGGACGAGCCATAAATATAATCATCTACAAATATAAACTGTTTTTTGAAAGTCTGCTAAACGATACAAGTTGAACAACGAAGAATAATAAAGTTGAATCTTGAAGGCAGCATTTGCCAAATAAAATTAATTTCGTAAAAAATTAAATATGTCATATTAGCTATCAAGCCGATAGTACGATACATTAGGTGAAAAAAGAAACTACCCCAAGCAATCGATTGGAATAGAAAGTACCATGAAGCCTATGAAATAATTTTAAAAGCTCATTCTTTTTTTCCATTTCACTGAAATCTGCTTTTTCGGGACAGCCGTTAAATTGAATCTTGGCTTGTGCTAATGATATCTGACTATAAATTACCAATACGATACATAGAATGAAAAGGGAAACTTCTCTTAGCAATGATTGGAATAAAAAGTAAAATAAAACTTATTAAATGTTCTTGGTTTTTCATCCTTATCTTCATTTTACTGAAATCTGCTTTTCCGGGACAGCCGTAGAATTGAAACTTGGCAGTTGCTAACATATGTCTGAGAATAAATCTTCTTCAATGTAACAATATTATTCATTATGAAAAGTTTATTAGGTGATTGTTTTGTCAAAACGTAAAGCGAAACACCGTTATGATATATCATGCCAGAATTTTATTAGTTTGAGATTCTTGGTTCAGTATCTGGTGGTCAAACAGTTAAAAATCATCAGCCCAATCAAATATAATAAAATTTAGGATAAACCTTATGAAATGATCTCAAAAATTCATTCCTTTTCTCAATTTTACTAAAATCTGCTTTTCCGGGACAGGCGTGAGATTACGGATGCATATGATTTTTCTTGAAACGATAAGGTTCGTGCCGTCTGAATAAATGAGGTGAATTATTTTGAACTATTAATTTTGAATTAATAAAATAATTCATTTTTTTATGACACTTTGTAGTAAACTAGAATTTATAATGTTCATTAAGTACGAATGTGCNCGGGCACGGCTTCTTCAAACACCATAGCCGACGCTACGACCACAATCAAAGCGCGCAATGCCCGGTCTGCCCCTCATCCATCGAGAACGCGGAGCATGTGTTTTACCTATGCCCGAGGTTCAGCGAGGAAAGAGAGAGTCTACACTCCCCGCTCCACGAGGTCATGACGCCGGAGAACACCACCAGGCTCATGCTCGCGAGCGAGCCGAACTGGCTCGCGGTTGCTTCCTTCGCCTGC